TACAAATACTTCGAAACATTTGATTAATCAGAAGAAAGAAATTTAATTAAAGCATTCAATGAACTATTGTACCTGTTTGGTCTATATTTTGAGATTTAATGGAATCCGCCAATCAAATACAAGAGCGCTCCGTGAACGGTTGTACACCATTTTGGATTAGTGCTGGAATTTATTTGCAACTTTTAGCCGAATATAAAAAGAATTTTTTTTACAAAAAACATTGTATATATGTGTGCTATTTTATATTCATATACATATGTGTTTATATTACTTCAACGAAAACTGTCTTTGCCATACAATTTTTTTATCTTTTTGAATAAAATTGTATAACATGTAAAATTTACATGTCCTGGGATGATTGTATGCTTAAATAACTGTCTATACATTTTATATGAATCTTTATTCTATGAATCTCGGACAGAGACCTGAATTCAGGCGGAGCCTTGACGCCTATTTGTTATTTTCGCTCCGTCTCGCTCTACTGAGATGACGGAGTGGGGGAAGCGTTTTCGACTCACGAGCAAAGTGTTGGACAGGCCTGATGTAAATGTAAGCCAGTCTTTTTTTTAATTGTCCTAGGCTGTATTACTCTGATGACCCCGTGTATCATCCTTGTTTAATATTAGGTGAAAAACAAGGATAAAACGATATATGAAGGCAGTTGGATAACGTTTCTGAATACAGCCCTAATAGTCGATACTACTAGTAAAAATTCCGATGAAAAAAGTTACTTTTTCAGTAACTGTAACGAATTACTTTTCAGAGTCAATAACTCTTGTAACGATAATTAATTACTTTTTGAAAGAGAAAAACTGTAATTGTAATTAATTACTTTTACAAAGTAACTTTCCCATCCCTGATTATTATATACATTTAACAACAATACGCGATAAATTTCTTTTATATTACATAATATTACAAAAATTTGGATAATTACAGAAAATATTCAAAATATCTTGCTATTTACATAATTTCCAATATAAAATAAGATATATTTATACAATAAAAACAAATTTACATAATTTTTGTGGAATTACATAATTTCTGTAAAATTGCCTGATTTTTTATATTTACAGAACTAATCATGTAATCTATTTTACATTTATTATATGTGAAAATTTACGAAATTTTTTTACAGTGTAAGTGGCTTGTATCGTATCGTGTCCAATCATGTGCAAAGTAACGATAAAAGTAACTGTAAAATTCGTTACCGTTACCAAAAAAATGTAACTTCGTTACCGTTAACAGTTACCAAAGAAAAAAAGTAACGCAGTTACTAGTAAAGTTACCGAACAAGTAACTTATAACTGTAACTTCGTTATAAGTAACGAGTTACTTCCATTCCCTACATATAATAAGTCGGCAAATACAAAGAATCAATAAATTCATTATATTACTTATTTTATAAAAATTTGTACAATATCTTTTAATACTTCCTTTCATATTTCCTATTTTATTCCTGTAAAGGATATAACAATATCAAGTTCTTCCGATTCATATATCTGTACGCTACTACACTATGTTATTGTGCATGCCTCGGAAAATCTCACAATTTGAGATTACTGCCTCGAATGCTTTAAAAAAAAGGAAAAAAAAAAAGATTACATGTCCAGGAAAAACTGGACACGACACTGGTCACTCTAGGCATTGCTCAGTAATTAAAGTTTAATATTAATAAATTTTTCATGATAAACAGTAATATTTCAGCATTTTTCGGTGACAATTTATTTCGATTATCAGAATAAACTAATTTTCCTACGTTGAAAAGTCTTTCTGAATGCACGGAAGATGGTGGAGCACTCAAATATTTCAAAACCAAAGTTTTGAGATTAGGATATTCTAAAACATGAGTTTTCCACCATATTAAAGGATCTTCATTTCTCGGTGATAGAGGTAGCGTTAGGTATTTTGTTAATTCAGCATTGTAAATTGCAATTTTCTCAGTTCTATCACTGGATTGTCTATTAAACGTCTCACTTGATGAATCCTCAAAATTGTTATCATTATCTAATTTTGAATTATTTATTATGTCATCGAAGCACTTCCAGATGTCATCTTGTGTTTCACTGATATCTTGTTTTTGAAGAGGATTATCATGATTTTGCATATTGTTTTCATCATCTTCGATGACTGTATTGTTCATTTCAAGCAATTCGGTAATAATCCATTGTTTGACCTTATTTTCATCTGATAAAAACTTTGTTTTGAATCTTGGATCTAAAACGGTAGCTAGTACAAAACATTTTCGATCCTTGAATCCTGTATAATGATAAAAAATTGATTCATTTATTTCAAAGAAAAAAAAATAACATTGTAAATTCATTAAAGTAATGAACTTATTAAAACAATACCTGTAGAAATGAAAAATCGTTCTTCCATTGCTTTCTTGAGTTCTTCCTTCAACATTACTATTCCAGCATCCTTTTGCCGTTTTGAAAGATACGAATGTAGAATAACAACTGCCGGAATAACGTATCCAATTGTCTCGCAATCAGAACTTAATATTTTAGTTATTTCTTCAAATGGTTGGAGAACATGTAAAACATTTTCTACTATACTCCATTGCATAACTGTAAGAGTTGGTATGTCTCTATCCGCAGCATATGCAGTTATCGCTTGTCGTTGTTCGTGAAGACTTGACAACATATAAAATGTAGAATTCCATCGTGTTGTATCATCGTAGATTAATTTATGATTTGGCAACTTCAAAATTTTCTGAATGCTACTGAGTTTCGAGTAAGCGAGTGAAGAATGGTTAAAATGTTCAACAATTTTCCGACATTTTCTTAAAATTTCAATAAACTTTTGATTTTTAAAAATACAATCATGAATTACAAGTTGTAAAGTGTGAATAACACATCCTATATTATCTCCTAACAAACCTGTAAGATATTTAACATAATCAATATCGCTAATTTAAAATCAAAAGTAACTAGGTTACTTAAAAAATATATTCTTCAATGGATACATTCAGTACTGCAGTCGCTCAGTGAGTTCTTGTATCTAATTGGCATATTCTATTAAATCCAAAAATATAAACTAGACAGATGCATGAGCTCATTAAACGCTCAGCGGTTGTAGTATTGAATGCATCCAATATAAACTTATTAATATTAAGTAATACATACTACTTCCAATAATCATATTAGAGGCGTTATCTCTTAAAATCAGGTGAATTTGATTAGAACTTATATGCCATTCTTCCATTATATCATTTAATATCTGATCTATATTAACAGCATGGCTATCAGGAAAGTGTTTCACACTGAGAACATACGTTTCTCTCTCCATATCATCACTTCGTATAAAGTGAGCTGTTAAACTTATGATTGCCTCATTGTTTGCTGAACAAGTCCAGATATTAGTACAGAACGATATGTATGTCGCAGTAGCTAATTTTTTACAAATACGTGTTTTCAAAGTTTCATGCAACTGTGGTATAATTTTGTCAGAAAAATATGTTCTGCAAGGTAGAGGATACTGCGGTGCCAAATATTTTATTAACCTTTCAAAGCCTTTTCGTTCAACTAATGTGAATGCTTCAGCATCAAGTGCTATCATTTCACCTAAAATATACAATCGAAAAATATAATTTATATTGGAAGTAGAAGGATTGCTAAATCAAAGTAATAATAAAGAAAAAATTCCTTTCATTAAGGGTGTGGTTGAAATTGCCATTGACTATGATATTCAACGACAACAATAATTGAAATGAGATAAGATGATGATAATAGAATGACATATTATTACAATGAATATAGTAATCGAAGTACAATGTTATAATGACTAAGATAATCAAACTACAATATTAATTGAAATGAGATAAAATTAATTGAGAAGCGGATGAACGAAAAGAAGAAAGGGAGGAGGAAAGTCTTACATCCAGAGGTAACGAATTATAATAGTTGGCTGCAGTGAGAGAAGGAAGCTCGAAATTTGACAGATCGGTGAGCAGGCGTAAAGAGCAGGTTATTATAACGGGTCGCAGTCAGCATGAAATTCTGAGTTATAATGTAAGAGATTGCGGAAATACGAAGGAGTATTGGAACGGAGAACATAAAAAATCATGCAGCATAAGTGAAAAATGAAACGTTGCCTAATATTTAACCAGCCAGATCTCTTGAACAAAGGAGTAATGTGGTCAAATTTACGACAGCCATAAGTAAAACGAAGGCAGGAGTTTTGAATGCGCTGGATGCGATTTAAGAGTTGACTGCTTAAGCTCGGTATATAGACAATATCAACGTAATTAAAGAGGGAGAGGACAAGAAGTTGAGAGAGGTGAAGCTTCTGAGAGACAGTAAGAACATGACGGAATGGATAAAGGCGACAAAGACACATGTATGCTGCTCTACATTTAATAGTGACATGTTGCATAAATGACCAAGAGCAATCAACATGTAAGAGACAACTAGAACACGAACAGAGGAGGGAGTTTCAAGGGAAACGGAGTAAAGCGAAACGTTTTACTAATTGACCAATCAAAAAATGTTTCAAAGCATTTGTAGCGGCAACTCGACCGTACTCTGAATGAATGTATGTGGACATATTTGTATTATAATAATTAATAATAAAGATAATATTAATTTTATAAACCTATATTATTCAAGAAGAATACTATTTTGATTTAATAATTCTTACAATGCTTATACTTTAACTTGACGTGACACTATTTACAAAATAGCGTAAATATTCATTTATATGAAATACATAGTGATTCTTTAAAATAAATATAAAAATAAAACATACCTATCCTTTTAGTTATATTGACTGATCTTGAATCATCTAAAGACCACATTTCTTCTTCCTTAATTATACACTGTAAAGTAGGCTGTGTCTCACAGGATAAAAAACTTTTGGAATTTTTCTCTTGGAGGAAAACACAAGTTTCTGACATAAAGTTTTCACAAGGTTTTGAGGTTATTGTTGTAGATAAAGGGTCATAAGATTTTGAAGTTATTGTTGTAGATAAAGAATCAGAAATTGGATAGTCATCTATTTCAACTTTAATATTCTCACTGACATTTATTTCTCCATCTAAGGTTTTCATTATCAACGGATGTTTACTTTTCAAATGGTTCCATAATGGTTTAGTCGAGAATAATTTACGTGATTTTCCTCTCACAATTTGCTTTCGTGATGTAGTTTCACAAAGAATACAGTCAGCTTTTCTTTCATCATCACTACATATTTTAAAAAAATTCCATACGTTGGATTTTCTTTGTGCCATTGTGTTCATAATTTAATTCATAATCATTAAAATGTAAACCTTTTCACAGTATTTATACAATCACATCACGGACACGTTCGGTGGGATGCTTTCGGCACTTCCTTGTTTTACATTTAATAAACGACAAAATGATAATTATAAGCGCTTAAGTCCTGAATGATCCTTTGAATTGTATGAAATACAATACTTGGGTGCAGTGAGCTTTAAAACCGTAAGATATTGTTGAATCACAGTCGAATGTAGCTGATTTCATACCACATACTTATATACGCTTGTGACTAGTGATGCACTTGGGCCGTGGTCCGAATCATGCTGACAACGCTCATGAGCATTGTTTGTCTTCGTTTAACATTTGACAAACAACAAGGATGAAATGATTTTTAAGCGTTGTGAGCGTGTATCGGCTGCGGCCTTGGTAAAATAAGGATGACTTTGTGTTCAGCAGAAGGCGTGTTCAGATTCCCATCTAAGTGCTCCCCGGGTGTCATGTCATCCTTGTCTAATGTACGATAAACAACAAAGATGGAATGATACCTGGGTGATACTCTAGTAGGAACCTGAACTCATCAAGAGAAAGCAGCTTTGCAACTGTTAAGCTGGAAACACAATAGACACAGGCAATAGGCACAGGCAACAGGGAATAACGAGCCGTCCAATCAGAGCTCTGGGATATAATACTACCTGTTCATGAGAGCCGATCTCGTAGGTCGGAGACCCTGTATATTTCGAATAGAATTTTCTTCGGAGAAGACGTTTTGGAATGTACTCTTAGTTCTAGTTTACTTCTTCCCGAGTCCTCAAAGATTTAAACTATTAACTGTTCAACTATTTAGTTTCAAGGAAGTCTGATAGGCTTTCTACAATAAGCTATTACCTAACGTTAAGTCTTAAATCGTAATAAATTGACCAGAGTCGATTATTCTTCTCACATTCGACTGTGATTGGTCAATTTCTTACTCTTACTTCTTACTCCGTGTATTGTAGACGGGCCTTAAGGCATAAGAAATTGAACCAACCAGAGGTCTCTATTACATGGAAGGGAAAGAAACGGAGAACTTCGATTGGTACATATTCTTAAGGCCCGTCTACAATACACGGAGTAAGAAGTAAGAGTAAGAAATTGACCAATCACAGTCGATTATTCTTCTCACATTCGACTGTCAATTTCTCTTACTTCTTACTCCGTGTATTGTAGACGGGCCTTCAGGATCCGGGCTAAAGTTGGCATATACGATATACGATGCTTGTTTTCCTGCTGGAGGATTGGTAGTCGAATTAGACTAATTCTACAATATGCTTTCTGTATCCTGTTTCTTGCTGTTTGTCTCTTGCCTTCTTGATCAAAAAGGCAAGAGACAAACAGCAAGAAACAGGAAACAAAAAGCACATTGTAGAATTAACCTTAGTCAGCACGAAACCTTTTTTTGCATGCCGTTTCTGTATTATGTGCTTAATTGTGAAACTGTGACTTATCTCATACTTATTAAAGTAAAAATAGGCAAAGACTCAAGTTATCTTGGAATTTCATACGTAAAAGTATATTTTTCACTATTTTTAATAACTGTCAAATCGTCTGTTTCCTGTCTGAATAAGTCTTTACGTGTCTTACGATTATTTATTGACTGTGAGGGGAGATAAGGAGAAACTCAGATCATTTTTATCTTTTTAAAGCGATTTTATTATTTCGTTTAATTCAAATTTTCTTTATTTACAAATGGCATGCAAGAAAAGTCATTTTTCGCTTATATCGTCACGATTCCAAGATGGTCGCGACGGTTACACAGTCAAGTGTTAATATATAGAAGTTTATGGTGAGCGCCCAAGCCCAGTAGCCCAGTTCGTTCAGTGTTCTCAAAGTGTGTGTACTCCAGGATTGTATTTATTGCGAGAACATGGCATATAGTGCTAATGAATACATTGACATGATTATTACATACGGTGCATGCGGAGGAAACGGCAGCGAAACACGCCGTCTCTACGCGGAACGATTTCCCGAACGCAAACAACCCAATTCCTCTGCTATTCTGAGATGTATCCATCGTTTACGTGAAACAGGATCAGTATTCGTAACTCGACTATTTACACATCATTATGGTGGTGTAAAAAGGAGTGTTTACAGTGAGGAGAAAATCCTGCGAGCGTATGAAGATGGAAAGAATGTGTGCCATATAGCTCGTTTATTTGGTACGAATCGAAGCAATGTATACCGTATACTCGACAAATACGAAGTGCGTCCGCTGCAACTTGAGCAAAATAAAAAGCAGCAGCGCGATACTTGTGAAGGTATTTTTATTATTTTTATAATAATGTTCGTTTTTAAGGAGACCAGCTCGTTTTTGGAATAAAAAATGACTTTTGTCATATTTTTTTCAAATGATAACTATTAAAGAATATTTTCCAGAAAATTTGAATGGTATATCTTGATTGTCGGAGTTGTAGCAGTTTGAACGTTCCAAGAGATAAAAAGTAAGATTTTGACTGTTCAAACCTGGCTGGTGTATATTATATTATAATATACCTGGCTTTTGTTATTTTAAAATATACAGATTTATAGCGTTTTTGGCCCAATCGCGTTTGCACCAATCTGGGTTGGATTAATCTTTCCTATTGGTTGACGTCACCCGCTCTATCAATAGGAGAGCACAAAACGCCATTAATACAACCTAGGTTGGTGCAAACCTGGCCGGGCCAAAAACGCTATTAGATTAGCAGATGTTTTTTCCCTGCCTTTATACATACATATACATGGATGAATACATGTGAAAGTTATGACATTTAGCACCAAAATACTTTCATTGTGATTTGAAACAAACAATAAAAATTGGAATGTTGCTGGCGTCTGATATATTTAATGAAAGTTATTTGATTTTTTGTAAATGGAAATTTGAATAGATCCCAAATGTGAAGCGCTGACATGATAGACAGTGAACAATGTGCCACATATCGAAAGAATGGCCTAAAAGTACCAATGCAATGGAATGATATCCAATTCAATGATATTTATAAAGATGAAGAATTTTTTTATTGCCCAGGAATTACTGATTATGCAGAAAACCTATTGTAAGTAAAATAAAACAGAAATATTCTCTAATGAAAATTTTTAATGTGTTTTTTTAAAAAGTCATTTTTCAATTTTGCTGTCACTGTAGAAAGAAAATGACTCAACGCATTGACTTAAGCTTTTTGCACACAAATTATAACCATTTTCTGTATATGCTAAATCTAAAAAAAATTAATAAATTTTTAAAGAATAATATTTTTTACATATTTAATTGAAAAAAAGTATAAATAGAGCCTTTTTTTAAAAACAATTTGAATTTTTTTTAAATTTCATTAGATTTAACATAATTAATTAACGTTACTAATTATAAATTAATTTTTTTTTTATTTTAGACAACTCACTTTGGTTGTACAGTGAAAGAGAGTTCTGATAGCACATCGCTAATTAGCCAATTTAAAATAAAGTATTCCTGTCGGCAAAGCAGTAAAAAATTATTAGGCACTAGCCGATGTAAGTGAATGTACTATTGAGATGTGTGCTAACAGAACCCTCCCTGCAGTGACAGCAATTTAGTGAACATCGGATTTTGGAGTATTCATCTTGTTGATCTCACTCATTTTTGCTTGTAAAAATTCTTGGATATTTCTTCAAGTATAAATAAAATGTATATACGAGCTTCAAATTGATAGCTATAATTGTTTATCTTTAAAAAATTTATGATAATTATTTTTTTGATCCCAAACAAAAACGAGCTGGTCCTCTAAAGGAGGTTCTAAATCTTTACCATTTTTTAACCCAATATGGCGTCAGAGCTGCTAAAATATCATAACATTTGTTCGATATATAAGTTTTGTAATCTATACTCACAGAACTGTGGTCCACAAATTAGTAGTTTACACAACATGGACAGTTAACAAATATGAAGTTTTTAAAATTAGACTTGGACGTCTAACAACGCTATTGTTTTATAAAAAATTATGTATATGTGTGCGTGAGATACGTCGGTGAAATGTACATAGGATTATTCGCACAATGTGAGAAGGTGAGGAGAATGTTGAGCTCGTTGACGCAGGCGAGCATCGAGATTAATTTGTTGTTTGATAGTATCGATTTCTATACATCGGTCATCAGACCTAGATACGAGGAACTTTATGCCAATCTGTTTAGGAGCATTCTCGAACTCATGGCACTTAGAGATACGAAAGTAGACAAGATTCAAGTTTACAGCATCGTTCTAGTCAGTGACTCCATCAGGATTCCAAAAATTCAGAAGCTATTTTACAGCTACTTCATACTCATTGTTCAATTAATCGTTATAATATATTATAATTTAAATAACGTGTTCTATATCTCAAATTTTTGTATTTTGTTTTACAGACGTATCAAGTGTCTCTACAATCGAGAAATCTACAGACAAGGAAAATAACATCAAGATTACGAATGACAAGAGTTGCTTGTCGAAGGAAGACATAGAAAAGATTGTACACAAAGCCAAAAAGTACCGAGAGTCAGAGGACGAGCAACAACAGGAGAGAATTTCCGCCAAAAATGCTCTCGAGTTATACTGCTCCAATATGAAGAGTACGATGGACACAGTTAAAGATAAGATCGATGCGCCCGATAAGGCGAAAGTCCTTTTTAAATGCAACGAAGTCATCTCCTGGTTAGACGTCAATCAATTGGCAGAGAAGGAAAAATTCGTTGACAAGCAAAAGGAATTGGAAGCCATATGTAATCCCATCGTCACGAAACTATACCAAAGTGGCGGAGCGCCTGGTGGTTTCCCTGATGCTGGCGGAGCAGAATCCAATCCTAGTGATGGCACTGGACCAACTACCGAGGAAGTTGATTAAATGAATTGGCGAACTCCTGTTTTTCTTTTATTACAATGTTTAACAAACTTATCACTATATAATATAATACAATCACATTAACACAATTTTATCAACCTAAAAATTTAGATGCGCAATTCAACGTAAAACGTTAAACGGAGTATTATTGCGGTAAGATAAAAAATCTTTTTTATCTTACCACAATAATATTGAATTGCGCATCTGGATTTTCAGGTTGATAAAATTGAAGGAGGGTTATTACGTAAGTAGTGATCGCTGATGAACTGCAAAATAAATTTATTTAATTGTTCCGATTGCCATTTGTTGAAAATTTGAAATAAACTAATTTTTAACACAACTTTTGACGAAATAAATAGTGTATTTACATTAGTAGAGCATTATTTAATTCAAAGAAATAATCTGAATTATTTTTTAATAATATTAAAGAATAAATACGCATCATAAATCACACACAATTCAAATTTATTCTATTGTAAGCAAAATTAATATTGTATGTAATTAAGAATAAAAATAAGTAAGGTGTAGTTGTGGTGCACACAATTTTATTTATTATAATTTTTCAAAAACCAATTTGTAAAATCCGGCTCTGTATGCATCTTCATAAAAAAAAAACAAAAAAGGTTTTATGACATAATATTACGTCTAGGAGATAAAATAGTATGAAAACATGTATTCGCACCGTAAATAAGCACCATATCATTTTATTTATTATGTTTTTAATAATGAAATTACAAAATTTGATTCTTTAATAGGCTTCGTAATTTCATAAAATATAACCAAAATGAGTTTCATGGTAAAATATTTTTTCTACAAGATAATATATATCATATATAGTAGTCTGATCAAAAAGTACAGATATATATACATATAGCTGCACTACAATTGAGGTGTAAATGAAACTTGTCACTAATGTCGATCCTTAATAATCGGTTCATTCAGAATGACAACTGTTTAGTAACTTCTTTCAGCTGATTGGTCTATATTTTGGGATCTAACGGAATATGCCAATCAGATGAAAGAGCTGAGTGGTCGTTTTGAATGCACCCATCGTATATAATAGAAATAAGACTATGGGCGAGTTTTTTTAATTTATTGATTGATCAATCGAATTATGCGCAAATGCAACTTTTACAGAACAAAATTACATTTGCGCACAATGGGATTGATCAATCGATGAATTAAAAAACTCGCCCTATTTCTTAAATTCTTTGTTAATAACTTTTTAATGTGACAACGATAATGAATGGATAATGTGAGCAACGGTTAAAACCTCTTCAAGATCACTCAGGTTGTGACCTTGATAATACATGTTAAGGTCATTGAAAAGGTCTTCTCTAATTGGCATATTAGCCATATGACTATCGAAAAATTTCTTACTAGGAACTATAGATCGATTTAATTGAAAATGACAGATCATTCTTTGCAAAGTATTGTGGAAAGTGTTGAAAACGTTGATAAAGAGTTTCTAGATAAAAATGATTGAAGCGAATCGAAGTGCTTTGTATACGTTTTGTGAAGCGTTTGGAAATAAATGTTAATGAAAAAAAATTATTTAGAACATGCGGGAAATGTAAGAGATGTGTTCTATGTACGCTTTCAGAACGTTCGAGCGGAAGCGTGTATTATGGATATATATTAAAACTATACAAGGAGTTAATGAAATATTTAAGAAACGTTGAAACTTATCGTTTACGCTTATCGACAAGCTTTTTATTTTCATCATGGATATTCTGATAGTCTCCTTGTTGAGATATTTTTATAATAAAAAAGCTTCAGATTAAACATTTTTTGAGATATTTTAAAATTTGTCATGATACATTTTAATATAAAATATAAATTATCTTATATAATATGTAAAGAGAGTCCTATTCATTATCAATTGCTTTCTACTACTCTTATGGCTACTTCAAGATTCCTATCAATTCGTTGATATAATCGTAATAATCGTAATGTATGAAATGTTTGATCTGACTAATGATTATTTAGTGTTGAATATGATAAGTTATGTATAAATATTACGCAATAATTAGCTGTAGCATTTCGTCAATGACGGGATCTTATCGATTCTGCTTCTTCTTTAATTATCTTTAACACTTGTCTCTGAGATCATGTTTAATAAAGAATGCAGCCAGGGATCTTGTCGATAGTATGAAAAAGCTAATTAATTCGGTGCTGATTTTTTAATTTATAAATCAAACACAAAATTGCGGTTACAATATTATCGATTATCAGTCAAGTACAAATTTATGATATTATATACCGATCATCAGTGTTCCATTGAATTTTTAGAAATATTTAATAATGATAAAATAATAACTATAACAAGTTAAAACTCCTTAATCAATAAAAACAAGAGTAGTAAATAAAACAATAGGAGTCTATCTCTGGTTGTTAAAATATCGAGTTTATTACAATAAAAATATTCTCTCACTTCGTACGTTTCGACTCCGTTTTTGAATGATCTTCAGCAACAACGCAACAAAATATATAGCATATTAAAAATCACAGTCATTATCCAAAATTTTCGCAATTGTATGTGCGATTACCATGATTTCGTGAGATCGTGAGTACAATGTCCATTACAGTTAGTTGGCTGAGTGACAATAATAACGGAAACTAAAATTTTTAAAAAACAGTAAAGAAATTAATAAAGAAGAGAGCAACATAAACTCCATCAACTCACATCACGAAACCAAGCAACTCACAAAAATCCAAATCCATTTGATACAATATTGCACAGTAAAATACATCGCTATCTTTTAATTTTAATTTGCACGATTAAATTAAATAGACGCAAGTCAATCTCTCAAGAACAATAATACGCTTCTATACACTGTAATACGTGTGCAAATTTACAGTGGTCGAACAACAAAACAAACTACACTTAATTGAGAATCTCCATGTAAGCGTTACTTAAGGCTAATGTATCCGTTTGCAAATTTAAACCATTAGCCTATCTTTTTATGTGCATCATTTCCGATATTATTCGCTTATTGTAAAAACCTTTCACATCTAGAATCTCAACATTGTCCCAATCAAAGTCATGATCATAATGCAACCTATGTTGCGTAATAACTGAATGAGAAGATGTTGCTCCATTAATATTTTTCTTATATTCCATAATTCTAGTTTTTAATTTTCTGCCTGTCTGGCCCACATAGGATTCTTTATTAATTTCTTTACTGTTTTTTAAAAATTTTAGTTTGAGTTATTATTGCCACTTAGCCAACTGTAATGGACATTGTACTCACGATCTCACGAAATCATGGTAATCGCACATACGACAATTGCGAAAATTTGGGATAATGACTGTGATTCCTAATATGCTGTATATTTTGTTGCGTTGTTGCTGAAGATGATTCAAAAAACGGAGTCGAAACGTACGAAGTGAGAGGATATTTTTATTGTAATAAACTCTCGATATTTTAACAACCAGAGGTAGACTCCTATTACCTTATTTATTAATCTTGTTTTATTGAGAAATATTTAAATTTATAAATTTTGTATTATAGTAGTGTAGGCCTGTCCTTTTTAGTTGAACTTTTGCACTAGCTCATCTTTCTTCCTTTCTCTCCAGGAGGAAAGAAAAAAAAGAAAAAAAAATAGAATAAATTAAAAAATAGCTACGAGCCAATTAAATAAAAAATAACATGTGAAATAAAGGCTTTGAAATAGACATAAAATTAGAAAGAGAAACAAATTATATTTATTAAAGACTAACAACTAACGTTTCAACCGCAATCGTGGGTCATTTTCAAAGTTCAAATAGAAGTATATAAATAGCGGAAAATAAAAATTAACATGCGTATCAAAGCGAAAAATAATAATTATAAATAGTACTTCGCTATCTAGGTCACAAAAGACATAAGTCGCATATAGTTGATAATAATGCCGATATTAGATCCATATACAAAATTTAAGCTGTGTGTCCAACACACCGAGAATATGTAGTTGTTAATCCTCATATTCCGAAAGTATTTCATAGATCATAGTGCAGAAAGATAAATTAAAAGGAAGAAAGACGAACTGGTGCAAAAGTTCAGTTAAAAAAAGGCCTAATTTTTAATTTCTTTCAGATTGTAATAGTGGCAATTAAATTTTAATATAATAAAAATTTAATTATTTATGTTATTAAAATTTGATTATAATATTAATATTTATCACTTTAGACCAAATTACAATAAAAACATAATGGAAACATTATATTTTTGATATTTTATGATGCACGATTGTTCCTAGCGTTGCGTTTTCATCAAATATTTGTTTACACGTTCACTTTTATATAATATTAATTATTTATGATTCGTAGATGCGATTCGTTTGCATATAGGGATAAGCTTTAAAATTTCTCATTATCACATTTGTGTGTGTATATGTAACTCTTTCGGTACCGTTACGTACTAAAAATAGAGGATGCTAGAGCATAAGTTAAAGCGAGCGTTTTTCCGCCTGCGTTTGCGGTGCCGGGAATCTCGATCGCGGCGCGACTGTATTTCTTTAATATGTATCATAAATCACATATGATGGTCACGTCATACGTTATATAGTAGCCGCCTGTTAGTGATGCACAAAACAAGGGAATCCATTAGAGAACGTGTAATAATCAGAAATACAAAAGAGGAAAAAATAAATTCTGACATGATTTACAACATAAAATAATCCAATAACAAGTGTTATACAATGACTACTCAAAAGTTTTTAAGTTTACATCGACGGTCTTTGCAGGGAAATTCTTCTATCAAAAAGAAGCACAAAAATGGCAATATAATTTCCTACATATTTTAATTCGTTTACTAATGGTGATTTTGGTTTAATTCATACAGATGTGGAATCAGTTTCTATTTTAGATGTTTTAAAAACTAATTTGTGATTATTTTTTTAACTAAATTATATTCAAACTTAGAGATATAGCGGAAAGAATATTTTTAATTATTCCACTAAAGTAGCTTCATATGAAAGAAGTTTTAGTAAATTGAAGTTAATAAAAAATTATTTAAGATCATTATTAAACCATCACTAAGTCAAGAAAAACTATCAAACATAGGAATTCTTTCAATTAAAAATGAAATGTGTATAAGGATATAGATTTTGATATAATAATTTCGCAACTATCAAAGTATGAAAAATATTGTGATTTTAGTAACTATATTTTTTAGTAACTTTATATTTCGTTTGTAATATATGATATGTAATCTATATGTTTACAATGTATAACTCTTCGTTTCTGTATACGTGATTATGTTAAATTAATATTAATATATTTTTAAAGGAAACTGTCTAAATTTTAACTGACAAATGTTATGATAAATACAACCGTA